GGAAAGATAGATAGGTAGGTAGGTAGGTAGGTAGATAGATAGATAGATAGATAGATAGATAGATAGATAGATAGATAGATAGATAGATAGATAGATAGATGAATGAATGGACATGCAAATTGATAAAAGATAGATGGGTAGTCCACTAGCCTCAGTAACAGGAGGTCAGCCTGTAGATTAAGAATGTATGATTATTATAGTAAAGGATACTGTGAAACTAGCGGACAGAAATGTCAAGAACCCAATGTTTGCAACTGTATGCAGCGAAATAAATGAGGATTTAGCTTTGACAAGGTACTTAAAGGGGGGCAGACAGGAAGACAGAGAGCAAGGGAGGGGGAGGGCGCCAGTGGGGAATGGAAAGAAAAAAAAACAGGGATGAGGGGGGGGGGAGGGTCAAATCGCTGGTCGTGCTCTATCTAGTGGCCAGGTCGATGGTAGACGTAACAGTAAAAGACAAAGAAGCTTCCACTTAACCTGTTAAACAGAATCCGGAGACAAACAGAACGCGCACCGGGTGGTTTGGGGAGCCGGCGGCACCACTTTGAATTAATACAGACTAGATCTACTCCAGAGAAACCTCATACGATGAAATGGTGAAATGATGAAACGGTTTAGGTTTAACGTCTCTATCATCACTTTCAGGGTATTTAAGACGCGGGATCTCCGAGTGAAACGTCCATCTCCAAAAGGAGCAAGCCAAGGGGGAAATTCGTGTAAGGTGCCTTTCCCTGATGCTCAAACCCCCGAACCCGCAATCTCACCACTGCAGGCCTGGAAGCCTAACCAAAAGGCCACCGACTTCTCAAACCCCATCTTTCCGTTTGGGAAATCCTAAAGACATTTCCCAATCAACACTTAAAAAATAAATGAGAAGGACATTGAATCCTTGGCACAGGCACATTATCTTAATTTCCCCAGCAAACCCCTCTGCAAATGTGTTCTAGAAATTGACTCGGGGGAAAAACATAATGTATTGATATAATAATATGGATTTCATCGTTTTGGCACTGGACACTTAGAAGGTTGTCGTGTTGTATGTCCTCCATTGTGCCAGGATGGTGGTAAGTGGTAAGAATAAACACACCACCAACAAGAGATAACTGAACAGAGGCGTAAACTATCCTTACAAAAGATACAAAGGACACAGGAGTGTAAACAATTAATCGTTACCATTTAATACTTTAACTTTTTCAGTAAAAGTGCCTTATCGAGTGTTTGGAGCCGAGTTTGCCTGTCTTTAATTCCACGTCTGTGGAATTTTTCTGGCCTACGGGCTGACTGGCTTGGATCGATAGGCAGGGCTCTTGACGACCTTTAAGTCTTTGAATATCGCAAAAGGGATAATCGCAACACTCTTGCCAGGTCTTTTTTGTTTTCGTGATCGTCGTCATCGTTTTTCTCCTCCTTCTCCCCCTCCTCCTCCACCACCTCTTCCTTTTCCCCCTCCTTTCCTCCCCTTCGTCCTCTTCCTCTTCCTCTTCCAACTCCCATCCCTAATTCCACACCCTCCTCATCTCTCCTACCCCTCATCCTCTTCCTCAATTTCCCCTTCCTCTCCAATATCTCTTCCTGGCCTCTTCTCTATCATTTTTTCAACCCTTATCTCGCTGTTGCTCTTGCTTGTTACTGCTCCTCCTCCTTTTCCTCCTTTTCTTCTTTTTCTTCTTATTCTTCATCTCCTCCTCACCCCCCCCCAACGTTCTGTTAATATGATTTATTTCCACTTGCAGCCAAAAAAACTTTCCTGCTAGACAAGCTATAGATCTCAGAATGCACGAAGCACTCGACCGAGTGACGTTCGATTAGAGTGGGGAAATTGGTTGCCTCTCAGAATAAGTCGCCGTTTTGCTCAGACATCGGGAGACATCTCTAGTGCAATCACTGATGTGGCCAAAAAAGTAACTGCCATTGCTTTAGGCCTGAATTCCCCGTCCGTGCTTGTACAATTAAAGACGAGGTGGTGGGTGACGGATACGTGCTTTTCCCACATTTTGTTTTAAAACGTTTTTTTAAAAAGAGTGTACATAGGGG